GGGGGGGGGGGCATACTAAATAATTCCTTTTTTGCTTGTCGCTTTAGGCGTAGTATGAAGGGCATTTGCAAAGCAGTATTTTGTGGATTTCAAAGTGCAGTTGATTCAATTTTGTCAGCTGGGAAAACCAGCGTGGCTGCAATTCATTGATTTTTTTCCCGATGGTTATCAAGTTCGGTTTGCTGTTGAAGACTGGGAAGGGAGCCACTGACAATTTTGCTAGCAATTGTGGATGTTGTCGTTGTTGTTGAGAAGTGCAATCACACTCGAGTTTTAACTTAAATAATTACAAATCTGCATTTCATTACTTCTTGAGACTTAACTTACAGAGTTCTGCAAGATATTCCTGCGCAGTCGCAAAGCACCCTTACTGTTATTTTCAGCTATAATGCCCTTCTGGAAGCATGTGCAGCAGCGCCACTACCCTCCTATGACGATGCAATCAAAGAGCCTGTTTTTGCTCCTCCAGCTTACTCGGCAGTCATTGCACAGCCAACGCCAACATCAGCTACTGCTCCAACGAACAGGGAAACAGCAACTGCGCAGCAGCAGCAGCAAAACGCAGACCCATCGGAAAACGAGCAAGTAACACCAGAAAGCAGCAACAGCAACAGCAGCAGCAGTGGCTCGGAGGAGGACTTGCTGCCGGTGAATTCAGCTGAAACGGTTACGTCGGTGGAGGTGCATCAGCCAAACGAGGATCATCTTCATGCCGATGCCAATGAGGAGAAGCCAGCCGATGAGTAGTTGTAGTAGCAGCAGTAGTTGTTGTTGTTGTTGCATAAGTGTGGGTGTTGTTATTTCACAATTGCTCTATCATTTGCCGTGCATTTAATCATTTTTATTAAGTATTTCTGTTTGTTTTTGAAGTGTTTCAAAGAAACGCCACCACCGATGCCTAACAACAATTTTGCATTCAGTTGCGCCAAGGCAAAATTTCTCATCTCATCCAAGCACTTTGGTGTGTGTGTGTGTGTATGTGTGTGTCTTGTTTTTTATGTTTATGCATAATTGTAGACACCAAAAACGTTCTCACTGCTTCGAGCTCTCCTTTCGAAGTTTATCCACCTCTGTACTCTAGATCTTTTACTTCCCAGATTTGTTAGCAAAACAGCTAGAGCACGTGATCGGCAAGCAAAATACACAGTCAAATAGTAAATTTTTTTGTGCACAGATCCGGTGCTACCTACACTGGTACTGTTTGGTTTGGGCTTATACACACGGGGCGCATGCCTGAATTCATCATGCAGCAGCAGCGGGAGGAGGAGGAGGCCTGAGTGAAATTTCTTTCAACTTGGAGCATTTTTTCGTTTTCTTTTTTTTTGTACTTTTGTTGTGGAATTGCCAGGAATGATCTGTTTTCGTTTGCATTTTAATAAAAGAATGTGTGTGCTGACAGTATTGCAGTTCGTTGCGTTGCACGGCGTTTTGTTTTTTTTGTTACCCAGTGACTCACTCTCAGATGGATCCCAATTTTCAGTTGCTCCGGTGCTTTTTTTATTATATTAGCTAGCTTGCTAACTGAGTGATGATGACAACGGTACTTCGCAGCTTCTTTCAACCACTCAACTACATCTGCATTTTCTCCGCATCGTTACGGCCATCTGTTTTGCTTTATAGTAATAATTGTGTTTGTATTTGATCTGTGCTGCCTGCTTTTTTGTTCCGGTTTTTTTTCGGCCCTTGCTTGTGCTTTCTCTTTTAAAATTATGTCCAAAAAAAGACGGTGTGTGTCGTTTGTTTCTGTCGTTCTGCATGCTTCTCCGTTATTGTGCATCCGTAGCAACATTTGCTGTTGTGGTTTTGTAGTTCATGTGCACTTCTATCTCAGGATGCTTCTTGCCGCCTGACTGTCCACTCTGTATGTACCACAGTTTCTTTCATTTCACTGCTTATTTGATTGATTACCATCAACTTCTGATTTTCATCTGCAAAATAGATATCACTCATCTCACTAAGCCGCGAAATTTCTCGAACTCTTTGCTCGGCTGTGAGAAATTTTTCTTGTCGGCGTTAATTTCCGACCCTCAAACGAATACCTTTTGAAATATGCAGTAAAGTTTTATAAGATTTATTTTGAGCAGCGAATTTTTGTCCTCCTCATACTTGTTGATGGTAATTTCCCACTGAACGTGCCATTCTCTTTTTTCGTTGTGTCCTGCCTGCTTTATTGGTGCCGTGCGCTGAATGTATTGGATTGCGCTAGTTTCTTCATTTGTCAGAAAATCTGAAAAAAAAAAAAAAAAAAAGAAAGAGCAATACACCTGTCTCGCTTCCTTGCACTGCTCTCGGATCTGTAATCGATGATTTCTTTTTAAACTTATTGATGTTGTTTCCACACAGCAACTGACTGTTGGGGTTTGATGCTGAGATTCATTTTTAAGAATTTATCATCTGGAGGTGAACAGGCAGCGTTCATTTTTAGCACATAAAGGCGCATGTTTGCTTTGAAGCTGCCGATGCTTTTGCTTCCGTGAAATATTCTACGGTGAAATGTGCTGAAATGGTGTATTGGTGTTGGTGTTTTGTCTCATTTTAGGACATATTATGTATACATCCTGGAAATTGCGTAAATTCGTTGAGATTTTCTGCCTTTTTCCGAGGTACTTTCTGCCTATAATGTGTGGATTTTTGATTCACTATGCTTTTTGTTCTTGTGGATGTCGTCCTGTGAGGGTCTTCATCATTTGGGTCTAATTGAACAAATTGTAACCGTCCGCTTACCCAACCAGTCTTTAGCATCTTTTTCGTTCGTAGCAATAGAGCGGATTGGACAAAATGATCATTTTTTGCACATGGTTAGCTGAGATGGAATCTCCGTGCCGATCATTAATTGAATTTGTTTGTAAAATGGTAAATATTTTTCAACTATTGCTTTGTGCAGTTATAATGCGTTTCTGTCTAAAATGAATAACAATGGATGAGTTAGTGGCGCACCTTTTGTTTTTTGCTTCTAACAGATATGAGTGCTTTTAAGCAGATATATGTTTCTTGCTCGGAGTTGTATGATAAAAGACTGTAGCAGAAAGTTAGGTCCGAATTGTGGAAGATATTAATCCAGTTGAAAGATGAATGTCCAGCGCACACACATTACTCGACAAAATAGGGCTATCGCAATCCATTCTTTAACACTGCCTGTGTAGTATGTGTAAAAATCACAAAACAGCACTTTTGCGCAAATGTTTCTGGATTTATCTGCATCATCAGGGCAGTCGGTATGGAAATCCAGCAGCAGGTGGTACTAGTAATGAGCTATCACATGCTGAACACACTGCTCTGTAATTTTCGACATACCTCCTCTCTTGCTTTTTTAAATGGCTCACATTCTAAATTTCCCTGTCCACATAGCAGGAGTTATTTGGAGCGGTCATCCCTGGATTGGGCTAGTCGAATGGCGCAGAATCTGCATTGATCCAAAACGTTGCTCGGGTGCGTCATTTGTAAATACACATTGAAGGTATGTTCAGGATGTATATTTCTGCCTTATGTGTTCATATCTCACTGTGTGGCACTCTGGACTAAAGAGTGCTTGTTCCAGCACTGCATTTTGCTGCTTTACCTGCCTTCATCTTTTCATATGTCACAATTTTTCCATTTCGACGCAACGCACTAAATTTTGCTGCTTACTCAGCGATGAAACGAGCAGTATCAGCAATCGTGAAATCAAAGACAAATTTTGAGAAGCTGTGATCGCTAAAAGCATTGCTGGAGCAATTCATGTCAATCACAAATTAGCCGTTCCCACCTATAGTTATTGTCCGAACTTGTATTTCACATTCATCTAGAAATGTGCTGGTAAATTTTCTGTGCTACTTCTGACTCCGGTGAGCACGCACTGTATTTCTTTTTGTTCTGTAGCCAAAAACTGACATTCTTGGTATGCGTGGCCGCTTAAAGGAACTGGTCCGAGCAGTGCATTCCGGGTTGATTAGAAAAGGTATAATTGTTAGGTATTAAAAGCAGTCATTTACCAGTACTGCTGTACGAGTTACGTGATACAGCAATTTAATGGCAGTTATTTTCAGTTGCAGCACCCCATATCGCCAGGGTTTTGCTTATGCATAGTGAGTTCCCCCTTACGTATTTTTGGAATACAAAGATGTGACCCGAGCTACAGCACGGCCACATTTGCTTTGCAAGAGACCGATTTTGGATTGGCAAAAGCGAAGTCAGGATTTTCGCCCATAATCTTTTCCCAAACATTGCTGAAAATCTGCAAACCAGTTTGGTGCTCTGTGAAACGCAAGCCGGTATCTTTTGCCAGATGCGTTTGTTATGGGGGAATGGGGATCCGACATGCGATCATTAAATTATTCGTGCTCGAGAACTGGAAATGGATTTTGTTGAGGTTATAACTGTACTCATTCGCTCGGTTTGTATAAATAACTCAATTTTCTTAAGGGCTATTTCAAACAGTACCAATGCTTTTGGCTTCGAGAGCCATTAAAGGAATATTAATAAGTGGTCACAGGTTATGAACAATAACGGAACAGTGTGAATAAATGAACGAAACATCGAGCTGGTAACATGTTAAGTAGTTCTGAGCGTTTTACTGAGAGACGACAAAAGTGAATTTTAGTGGCAACTGTTAAGGGATCACTTTTGCGATTTTAGTGACATAGGCCCTAAGCAGTTCTGCGATGGAACTTTTTCGGCCTCCAACACTGCGGTTGATCAGATTCGAAAAGCGAGTTTTAAGAGCCGGCATAGTTGTATTTCTGCGCATGTTCCGGCGCGCATTTTTGTTCAGGATACAGAACTGCCAAATATGCGGACGGCGAAAAAAATGAACTCGAATATCGGGATTTTGAGAAATCACCACTGACTTTCACATGTACGCTTATCTTTATACGACATTCGCATGACTTTCGCATGATTTTCACGTGAATTGCCCTATGAAATGAGCGCAGAAAACACATTATTAGTTCAAGCACTATGCGCATTTCAATAGCACTCCATGCATCTCAGCTGCATTCACCCAATTTGCATATTTTCTCGGAAACTTTTAGTAATACGCACACATTCACTTGCATCACTGCTTCTAACAAACTTGAATATTGCCTAGTGAATGCTATAAAAGCGAGTGGAATGGCCAATTCGAACAGTTTTTTGTTCGAAGCGAATTATGGATCGGTGCGCGATACGAAGCGGCTGACGGAGGCGACCGGGGCTTGTCGGCGAGATGCGCGCGGCTATTTTCTTATTCAGTTTGGTGTCTGAGGCGATATTTAATGGCAGGAGGCTGCAGTTGGAAAGCTACGCCGAACAAGTTGAGGGAAAGGAACTGCGGAATAGGGAAGGTGCAGGAAAAACGCGCTTCCTTCAGCCGTTTTTCTTTTTCCATGTTGAACGTAGCTGATCAGACGGAATACTTGAATGCTTGGACTATCAACAACCATGAAAATACAACAGCGGCTTGATGCGTTTTTACGCCGAATATCAACAAAATGCGCGGTTTCGGGAAGTTGCAGTGACATATCCGCTTTACAGTTTCGTCGAGGAATGTTGCAACTTAGCCGAAGCCTGCAGAAGAAGTCAGGACGAAGCTGCTAATAGTCGGGACGGCACATGCTGAAATGCTTTTGGTATTTTTGAACGCGATTGAGTGATTTCTGAAAGCATTCGGGGACAATCAGTGCACTACGTCGCGGTATTGAAAAAGATGAAGATGTATCACGAGTCGTGGGTTTATTCGCAAGTAGTAGTAGATGCCGCTTGGAACTGAAGAAAATCGAGCTGAAGTGCAG